TGCAAAAATCCTCAACAAAATTTTAGCTATCAGAATCCAACAATGTATCCATAAGATAATTCACCACGATCAAGGAGGATTCATGCCAGGGACACAAGGATGGTTCAACATCTGAAAATCAATCAACATTATCCAACACATCAACAAAAAGAAATATAAAAACCATATGATAATATCAATAGATGCTGAGAAAGCGATAAACAAAGTGCAACACCCATTCATGATAAAAGCCCTTGAAATTCTTGGGATATAAGGAACATACCTCAACATCATAAAGGCCATCTATGACAAGCCAACAGCCAGTATCATTCTCAATGGTGAAAAGTTGAAAGCATTTCCATTAAGATCTGGAACAAGACAAAGATGTCGACTCTCACCACTGCTTTTCAATATAATACTGGAAGTCCTAGCCAGAGCAATAAGACAAGAGAAAGACATACAAGGAATCCAAATAGGAAAAGAAGAAGTCAAACTATCTCTACTTGCAGATGATATGATAATATACATAGAGAACCCCAAAAACTCCACAGAAAAACTAATTCAACTCATCAATCAGTTCAGTAAAGTGGCAGGATACAAAATCAACACGCAAAAGTCAGTAGCCTTCCTATACACAAACAATAAATCTGAAGAAGAAGAAATTAAAAAAAAACATCCCTTTTATTATTGAAACAAAAAAAAATCAAATACTTGGGAATAAATCTAACAAAAGAGGTAAAGGACCTATACAAAGAAAACTATAAAACACTGTTAAAAGAAATAGAAGAAGACACAAAGAAATGGAAAGACATCCCCTGCTCATGGATTGGAAGAATAAACTTTATTAAAATGGCCATCCTACCAAAAGCAATATACAGATTCAATGCTATTCCAATAAAAATTTCAATGTCATTCTTCAAAGAAATAGAACAATTATTGATGAAATTCATATGGAATCACCAAAAACCCCAAATGCCAAAGCTCTCCTGAAAAAAAAGAAGGGAATGGAGGCATCACACTCCCAGATTTCAAACTATACTACAAAGCCATAATCATCAAAACTGCATGGTATTGGAACAAGAACAGACACACAGACCAATGGAATCAAATAGAAAATCCAGAAATAAACCCACAGATTTATGGTCAACTAATCTTTGAAAAAGGAGCAAAGACTATGCATTGGAGCAAAGAAAGTTTGTTCAATAAATGGTGCTGGGAAAACTGGGTCGCTACATGCAAAAGAATAAGCTTGACCACTACCTCACACCATACACAAAAATCAACTCAAAATGGATTAAAGAACTAGACATAAGACCAGAAACCATAAAATACATAGAAGGAAATATAGGCGAAATACTACGTGATATGCACATCAAAGACATCTTTACAGACACATCACCCAAAGCAGTGATAGTGAAGGCAAAGATAAACAGCTGGGACTACATCAAATTAAAGAGCTTCTGCACAGCAAAAGAGACAATAACAAAAACAAAGAGAAACCCCACCAACTGGGAGAACATTTTTGCACACAACACTAATGATAAAGGACCGATCACAAAAATCTGCAAAGAGCTGATGAGACTCAACAAAAACAAAGAAAATAATCCAGTCAAAAAATGGGCAGAAGAACTAAAAAGAAACTTCTCTGAAGAGGAAATGCAAATGGCCAACAGGCATATGAAAAAACGTTCAACATCACTTGTAATCAGGGAAATGCAAATTAAAACTACCATGAGATACCATCTTACACCAGTGAGAATGGCACATATTAAAAAAACTAGCAACAACAAATGTTGGCGAGGGTGTGGAGAAAAAGGAACTCTCCTGCACTGTTGGTGGGTGTGCAAACTGGTCCAACCACTATGGAGAGCTGTGTGGAGATTTCTGGACCTACTAAACATAGAGCTTCCATATGATCCAGCAATTCCACTCCTAGGTATTTACCCAAAGGACACAGAAACATCAATTCCAAAGAGCACCTGCACCCCTATGTTTATAGCAGCACTATTTGCAATAGCTAAGCTTTGGAAACAACCCAAATGCCCAAAAATAGATGACTGGATCAAGAAGATGTGGTACATATACACCATGGAATATTAGTCAGCATTCAAAAAAGATAAACAGATGCAATTTGCAGCAACATGGATGGCGCTGGAAGGGATCATGCTCAGCGAAATAAGCCAGAAAGAAAAAGAAAAATACCGGATGGTCTCACTCATAGCAGGAATCTAGAAAACTTAAATAAGGGACCAGGAAAATGAATAACTGCAAGAAAGTGAAAATCAAAATCAACAAACAACTATGAACCAGAGACACTCTATGGGTGGTAGCGGGTGGGGAGGGGAGGGATTGGGGGGTCAAAATAAGGGGATTGCAATTGTATGGGGAATATAAAAATAAAATTTATTTTAAAAAAATAAATATATAAAATAACTATAAAAAAAAAGAACTATAGGATGTTATTAAAGGACTTAGAGACCTAAGGCATTCATGGATGGGGAGAATTAATACAATCAAAACTACTATCCTGCCTTAAATGATAAATTTCACATGATCTGCATCAAAAATATCACCAATATTTTTCAAAGAAATTTGAAAAAGAATATTGAAATTTACATGGAACCTTAAAAGGACACAAGTTACAAAAGCAGCCCTGAAAACAAGGAGAGAAATGGAGGTATGTTACTCCACTTCAAACTTTACTATACAATAACAGTACTAAAAACAATATGGTATTGACACAAAAATAGATACCTGGATAAATGGAATATAATCAAAATCCCAGAAAAAAATCTGCATATATATCAGCATCTAATGTACGATAAAGCAGCTATACAATAAAGGATAGTCTATTTCATAACTAGTGCTGGGAAAACTGGAAAGTCACATATAAAAGAATAAAGTTGGGTTACTCACTAACTCCATATATAAAAATACACTCCAAGTGGATTAAAGATTTACATTTAAGAGCTGCACCAATATACATGAAATATTTAAACGAAAACATTGATATATTTTATGATATCAAAGATAAAGATGTTTCTGGTGATTCAACCCTTATGGCAAGGAAAATAAAAACAAAAGTAAATTGTTGGGATTACTTGAAGTTCTTGAAGTTAAAAATGTTTTTATACAGTGAATGAAAAAGCAAGTTTAGAAAACACCTTATTTAATGGTAGAAATAGTTATTCAACATATAACTGACAAGAGATTAATAATCAAGATACATAATGAAGAACCCAATTAATAATTGGGCAACAGATGTGAACAGGTAACTCACCAAAGAGGATATTCAGAAGACTAACGGAGGCCAACAGACTTATGAAAAGATGCTCATCATCACTTCCAATAAGAGATGCATGTTAAATCCACAATGAGTTACCATCTCATGCCCATGAGGGTGGCACATATTAAAAAGACTTCCAATAACTGCTGGAGAGGATGTGGAGAAAGAGGAACCCTATTACATCCACTGGTGTAAGCCTGTGCCACCATTATGGAAAACAAATAGGATTTCACTTAATAATGGAAATATTGTATGACACAGCAATCCATTCTTTGGCTTCTATCCAAAGAATATGAAACCATCAACACAGAAACACAAAGCATGTTCCACAATGTTCATAGTAGCATTATTTACAATAGTTAGGATATGAAAGCAGCCTAAATGTCTAGTTGTAGACAACTGGATCAAGAAAATGCAGTATATTCACACTATGGAATACTATTCAGTCATAAGAAAGGATGAAATGCAGCCATTTTCAACAAAATGGCAGTTTAAGAGAATTTTGAATAGTAAAGCAAGTAATAGTGATTAAAAAAAAACACAGGACCTTTATATAGCAGGCAATTGTATAACATAAAATACTTTCTACAGCTGGTGAACATCAATAAACATAGTGAGAACTCTGAAGGTAAGAGTGAGGAGGAAGGCAGAAGAGAAGAGGATATAAGGGACGGCTGTTGGGAAATAAAGACCCATCTCCTGTGTCTCTCAGGAGATGCTAACTACACTTCTCCCTCCACAGGGCTTTCGTATATAGGGTTTCCTCTGGATGGAATGCTCTGTCCCACTCTCCTCTAGTTACTGCCTACTCTCCATTACCCCAGCTCAAACTCCACTTCCTCAGGGGAGCTTTGCTGATGCCCTTGGGAAGCTTGTACCTCCACCTCATGCCATCACGGTGCCATGTGGATCTTCTTCCATCATACCTGTTCTCATCTGACATTACCAGTGGAGTAATGGACAAGTAATGTCACTTGTCTGACATCTAGCTTCTCTCCTTTTATCTTGGAAGCTTAATAAAAGTAGAGACACTGTCTGTGTTTGCTTTGGCATCCAAATGTGATTCCAGAAAGAAATTTAAGGAATGCATGAGTAGATGTGTGACAAATTGCCGAATATATATGTGCATCCCAGTGAAAACTGCTTGCCACAGAAAGAGAGCAGTTGTCTGGGCCACCTTGTATGTTTGAGGTCAAGAGCTAGTATCTCTTGATATATGAACTACTGAGTCACCGCCACCATAATTGCTATAAATGACACAACTAGCCCTAGGTCTAAGTAAGGCCTGGAGGTATCACACCTCAATGAGAATTTACACATCAAGATTCTGAAAGAAATGACCCTAGTAGAAAAAAACTTTTCAACCTGTTTCAGTTCCATAAATCTTCAAATACTTGTCTAGCTGGGAGCTGAGCAAATTGACTCCTCCAGAGTTAGGTGCTCTATAGCCTAGACACACACCCAGGGAGAGCTTTTGGCTTTGCAGAAAGTCAGCAGTGTTTACAGTGGCTGACAGCTAAGGCTTATCATTGCTGCATCTCTCTGGCAATGTTTCTCAGCTACCAGGAATGCAGAGTCTGGGTATCTAGTGGAGACTAGAAACACTGCACTGCATGCCGCCATACTGCTTGTAACCAAGGAATGTCCAACCATCATCTAAGAAGGAAGAAATCAAATACTTAAAGTGTGTAACGTTCATGTGTTACATTCTTTCTATCTTTCTCATGTGATACAGGATTAAAAATACCATCAACAGAAGTTTACTAGAGCAGGTTCGAAAGATGGAAAGCAGCCGAGTTCAAGAAACTGATGTTCCTAGAACGGTCAGACGGAGGTGAGACTTTATTCTGATTTTTTTTAAGGACCCATTATTCCTGTTCTTCTTCCCACATTTCCCTTCCAGACATTTCCATATCCTCCATGATTTCCTAAGTTTATTAAGAGCATATCAAACAGGCATCTTGAACTTTGAATGCACAACAGTGAACAGTGCAGCTGCCTATTTTGCCATGCCAATTCCCCAGTGATCTTACTCTCAGATGGCAACTTCATTCCTTTAGTTTCTCAGGTCAAAACCTTTAAGTCATCCTCATTTCTACTCTCTCCCTCCGGTTAACACCTAAAAAATCATGTTTTTAAAAATCCTGTTATGCCTACTTCAAAGCAAACTGAGAATTAGAGAAATAATCACAATCACTATTGCCTTGCTCTGTTGCAGTCTCTATTATTTGTCTCCTGTTTCCACCCTTCCCCACACAGCCAGAGAAAGGAGGCTTGAACAAAGTAAATTGGATCATATCACTCTCTGCTAATTCCCATTACCTCCCCCTCACTCAGAGCAACATTCCTTCAATGGCCTACAGTGCCCTACACACTCTGTCCCTTCACAGACACAACACGTGCACACTGGCATATATACACATATGTGCGTACATACAAACATACATATGCACATATATTCAACCAGCTTGAGACATCTTAGGGATTTCTTTTCTAATGTCAGTTACCAAAATACTTTTGGAAATGCCTCATTTTGAAAAGGTATGTTTCCATTTCACCTAACATATTTTTTTTTTTAATCTTAAATTTTATTTTTATATTCCCCCATACAATTGCAAACGCCCCATTCTGACCCCAATCCTTCCCCTCCCGCCCCCCACCCCCCAAAAAGTGTCTCTGGTTCATAGTTTTTTGTTGATTTTGATTTTCACTTTCTTATATTCATTTTCCTGGTCCCTTATTTAAGTTTTCTAGATTCCTGCTATGAGTGAGACCATCCGGTATTTTTCTTTTTCTTTTTGGCTTATTTCGCTGAGCATGATCCCTTCCAACGCCATCCATGTTGCTGCAAATTGCATGTGTTTATCTTTTTTGAATGCTGAGTAATATTCCATGGTATATATGTACCACATCTTCTTGATCCAGTCATCTACTTTTGGGCATTTTCACCTAACATATTTTTAAGGAAAGCTTTTTGTCTTTTTCACAGGATCCCTTGCTAACATTCTAAAACTAAGGTGCATTAAGCTTATGCACACTAACTTTATTTTTACCTCTGGTGGTTGAAACAGCAACATTTATCTACTATGGGTCAGAGAATCTGCAAATTTCTGTTCTTTCCCACGCAAATTTTTGCATAAAGATTTGGACATGGAGGCTAAAGCAGTTCTCTCTCTCTCGCCTGCACCCATCCAGATGAAACAGTGGATATGGGAGGAGAGGGAGTTGTATTGCAGAAGAAAGGAACAGGGTCTGTTTAAGATTTGAATTGTTCCCCTTCTGCTGCTGCCTGGGAAGATAAAAAATGTTTGCTCTTGCAGTTGCTGCCTCATTCCCATTAGTCCTTATTTGATGGCCTTAAAGAAGATCAGGCTAAATGCCAGGAATGTCAGAGGTTTATAGGAATCAAATGGTTGTCAATATTTTCGATCTCCACACCCAAATTATTTCCAGAAGTAGATAACTTCCAATTTTCTGACATACCTGGGCATTATCTTGAGTTCCTTGAGCCTCAGTAACATTTTTATTCTAGGGGTTTCCACGTGGTCTCAGCATGTCTTGAAGTTCTGAGTGGACTCTCGTTGAATCTGGGATATTTATATAGGAATTATAAGGCAAAGAATGACTCTTTAAAGTATAATGTATGCCTGCTACATTTTGAGTACTTTCATAAGCATGGAGAAAAGGGTCCAAACCAATGCTGATGTGGCCTGGGAAAAGAGGGCAAAAGGCACATTTTAATAGATTGAGGGAGCAGCAAAGCTGTAAGTACAAACAAATATAAAGTAAATGAATGGGGTAATTAATCAATGCCCATGTATTTGGCACCTACAGAGTACTTGATACTCATAGCAGCAAGTATTCGTGATCATATAAAGCACCTAGAACTCTTGCACAATCCCCCTGAATAACTGACTCATTTCTAATACTTTAAATAAACTTATGTTGTGTGATCCAACATCTCCATTTCTAAGTACTTATTGAAGAGAAAATAAAATATACATGTCCAGATATCCAGGCATATGAAGTTAAAAGGTACCTGATGACGTAAAATCCAAAGAAGACTTCACCCTGATACCTGACACAACACTCAAAACGAAGATAATCTTGAAAGCAGCAAAATAAGAGCAGGTCATCACATAGAGGTAAAGCCCCACTGCACCCAACACTACCAGAATATACATTCTTCTCAAGCACACATGGAACATTTTCCAAAACAGATCATAGGTTAGACCACAAAACAAGTCTTTGTAAATCTAAAAAGATTAAAATCTCATCAAGCATCTTTTATGACCCCAAAGATATGAAGCTAGAAATCAATTAAAGGGGAAAACTGGAAAAAACCATAAATATGTGAAGATTTAAAACATGCTCCTCAATAACCAATGCAATAAAAAAAACATATGCGGGGCTGGTCCAAGATAATGGACTTTGAGATCCTCAACTCACCTCTTCCTGTGGACACACTGAATCTACAGCAACATATGAAACATTTCCCTCTGAAAATAAGCTGAGCAATTTAAATAAAGGGGCCACATGGAGAAGGGTAGCAGACAAAGGGACAGAGACATACAGTCTTGCCAAAAGCTCCATTCCTGGTGTGCGACCACAACCAGGAGGCATCTCACAAAGTCAGAGCTTCTCCCTGAGGCAGGGAGGGCCTCATGCTCCACATCAAGCACCCAAAACCTTGGGATCTCAAGTGAAGAGTCAAATACCAAGACATCAAGCCTTGAAAATTATTTGAATTAAGAAAGTATTGTAAACAGTAAATAGAGTAGCCAGGTAGCTCCCTGCAATCAAAGGCAGGATTGCTATTATTTTTTTATAGTGCTGATTTTAAAAAGTTTTTATTGTATATACACTTTAGTCATCTTTAATCACAACCTTTTAATAATTAAATTATTAAATTAATAATAAAAAAGTACTTGTGCTTGGATTTCCAATGGGATCTGGAGAAGTTCTCTCTCATGCCTAGAGTTGACCTTTCCTGACATATATTATCGAGAGTCTTGAACCAGTGTAGTATATCTGTGCCATTAGGAAAAGAAGTTGGAACAAATATTTTAAAAATACACACCACAAGATCTCTAAGGTGCTCTGGGAAGCCAGAGAGCTGACAGGACACTGTTCAGTTCAACTCTATAGAAAATAACAGAGAGCTGTTTAAAAAAATACTATGACAAAATGCTATTTCAGAAGAAGCATCTTGCTGAGAGTGTCTAGATAATATTCATTTTACTATAAATACATGAACAGTTTGCAAAATGTGAGGAAGATATTCTACTTCGCCTTGCACCTTGATTTTTTCCAGTAAATTCTTCTGAAAGCTGTTCCAATGAACTAAAGTCAGTCTGTGTTTGATTTACTCTTAGGGTGGAGGCAAAAAATACCCTAATGTCCCAGAACTGCGGGGTCTTCTTCCACAACAGTTCTGTTGATACTAGTGCCCCACGTAAGTAGAGTACTGTAAAGTGGACCCCAACACTAAGATGGCATCGAGTCACAGAAAGCATGAGTCTCTAAAAGCTAGTTCAGTCTCCTTGAAGACCATGTGCTAAGTGAAATAAGGCTGACACAAAAAGACAAGTGCTGTGTGATTTCACATACAAGAGGTACCCAGAGTGTCAAATTCAGAGAAACAGAGTGTAAAATAGTTGCCAGGGGCTGGGAAGGGGAAGAAGAGTTAGAGCTTAATGGTAACGGAGTTTCTGATTGGGAAGATGAAGAGGGCTGAAGATTGATGGTGGCGAGGGTTGCAACATGGTCAGTATAGCCACTGCTACTGACCTGGGCAATTAATATTCTTTAAAAAGGTAAACTTTATGTTGCATGTATTTTTACCACAATATTTTTTAAAATGGAAACTATTTTTTTTAAAGTAGATAATTCTCATAGGGAAAGAAAGCTGAGTTACATTTGTGAAATTAGAGAGTTTGGTCTAAAGCAAATGCAGTTTCTGATCTCCTACTCCTCCATGATAAGATCCTCACATGTAAAATTTTCATGTTTTCAATATCCTGTAGCATATTCCAAACATACTATTTTAAAGGTAAAAGGTAGTTTTTCTTCAGGCTTTGGTACATCTTTTTGAAGTAAAATTTCAGTGAAAAGTAGCTTTTATTTACAGAATTTAATATGTGGGGTGGCTGTGCAACTCATTTGGACGTAAGTGAAGATAGCCATAAGCCTGTTTATGTATTTTCTTATTTTCAGTTTCCATACAAAAAAAATTGTTTGCTTCACATTCATAAAAACCCCAATAACTGAAATGACAAACCCTCCCATATCTTCCATAACTATCAGTTAAATATAAAAACAACTTCAAAAACACATATAATTTAGATCAGTTTAATCTTGAAAGGTATTCCAATAAGATTTAAAACTAAGCATTTCAGGTCCTGTACCAAACAGTAATATACAGGAAGGTTTTTAGCGTCCTTTGACTGATTTACATCAATAAGAGAAACAATTTTTGATGCAGTGAAAGAAACGTGTTCATATCCAGTTGCAATTCAAGCTCCTGTTGGCCAACCCTGCATTCACCATATCTCCTCAGGGAGGCCACAAAAAATCATCACCTTTTGCAATTTCACTGTCATCAATAATTCTCAATTCTTCCATTACATTCTTGTGCACATAGCCTCTTTCTGCCCATGACATCATTTTTATAATTGCTGTTGTTGGTATATCTAAGCTTTTCATCCGGTAGAAACTAGAACTCCAGAAACTCATGTCTAAACTTGCCCTTGTGCAGTACATAGCAGCACAGGTAGAAATTGCTGGCCATGGTCTTAGGTCCCTGGGAAGCCCACCGAAGTCCTGGTCAATGCAAATAATTTTTATCCAAAGAAAACTTGCATACCCTTTTTTTTTTCTGGTATAAAGTTAACTAACCCCAAGGTGGGCATGAAAACTTAAAAGTTGTTTTATATTCCCCCCTTCTTCCATCTGAGATTCATCCAAAAAAGTCCCTAGATGAAAGACTTTGACGCTGTGAGTGTAGAATTTTATAGTGGGAAAGGAAAAAAGCCAAACAAAAAGGATAATAAAAATAAAGTAACACTGGTATCTGTTGGGAATGAGAGCTACTCCCCATACACTCTGCCTTTCCCCCGAAGGTTGTCACTGAAAGTTTTAGGAAACAGCAGTTGCCTGGCTCTGTGTCGTATTTTAATCCGAATATGTCATTCAAGTGTGTGATTGCTCTTTTGTCTAACCTGTCAAGGTCAAGAGTTAGAGAATATGAAAATACTTGTAAGTCCTCTATATTGCCTGGTGAGTATCAGCACTACTTTCAGAAATGATTATATGACTAATTCTCTCGGGGATAGAGTTCTGATTAATTAATTACCCAGGAATTCCTACCAGTGACCTTATTGTTCATTTGAACTTGAGTAAGCCTATATTAATCAACCTCATTTTAAAATAGTTAAACAATTAAAATATTACAATTATGGATTCTTCACCAAATTTAACATCAGCATTGAATGCAATCCCCCAGCATGTTTTCAGCTTCATAGACTACTCTTCTTGGTTCCAGTTTCAAGATTCACAATTCAGACATTTCCATATCCCCTCCTCTTAAAATATGATAGAAAATGAGATCAAGGACCCAGAGGCCACTGTTTGAGCTGCTCAGTCCAGCCTCAGCCACAATCTCATATAAACAGCCCTGAGCTTCATGATGCCTCTTCAGGCCTGCCTCCTCCAGGAAATTCTCACTCAGAACATAGTGACACTTCAGACTCCCTGGGGGAATTAAAAAAATTAGACACTGATATTCTGTTACCCCCTGATCAATTTTGGCCTCAGAATGGGGATGCTTAAACGGTTCTCTTACAAACCACTTGACTACCATGTTTTCATAGACCTGACCACTTTCCCCACTTCAGTCACTGGCCTGGCCAATGTCAGTAAGTCCCACTCTGGCATAGGTCTCACTTCCTGTTAGCAGAATGTTCATGTGCATTACTGTTTTTAACAGATTCCCTTGTGTTTGGCTCTTTCAGATGGATATGCATTTTCTCAAATAGAAGGCACCAAAATGACTCAAGAAGAACTAGTTCGTTCTTATAACACTGCTGAAATCAAAAAATGAGAAGAATCTAAGAAAGACCATTTCTGAGTACTGCTGGCTGTAAGGTTCGGATCATTGTGTTCTGTATGCTCACATCCTTCCCTGAGACTACCAGTATTCAGGAGTACAAGCCAGCACTCCTGAACACTCCTTCCTGTATCTCTGGGAAATCTGTAATTTATGTATTTGATTGGGTCACAATCCTTAGGTATAAATAATGTGGAACCCTATTTGCCTTTTCTTCATTTGTCTTCAATGTTTTACTTACTGTGCTTGCTTTTCTGTGGCTGCAAGATTATTTATTAGCTTGGTATTAAGTACAAAATTAACAGCATTACGTTTCACCAAAATTTAAACTTCAGTATAAGTTGTTTTGTGAAAAAAGGGTAAAAGATGATATGTTATATAGTCAGGCTGTTTTGCTTAACTGGAAAGGGGTTACACAATAACTCTGCATTTTGAAAACTCACTGATTAAGGACATTAAACAGCATATAAAACATTTTTCTAAGTTAGGACGTGCTGTCACTTAAAGTCACATTTTATTTGTACAATATTTGCATAGCATTATTGATTTCAGTGAACTCACACAAAGGGTGTAGCAGACACTCATCACAGGCTCCAAAATGAGGTGTGCAAGAATTAATATCTTATTATTTTCTATACATTAATTTAATCTTCATTCTGATGCGCCCATGCAATGGACTGGTAGGAAATTCAACCTCAATCATTCTTGGGACTCAGTTTTGTACCAATGCTGCACTGCTGCACTGAGTGCAAAGCATTGGGTCACCCTCCACTCTTCTGTCATCTGCCCACAGAGATCACCACTAAGACACATGATTTCTTTTGGCCTGGCCACTTTATGAGGTTTCTGTGGCAGCTATGGAGAACTAGAATATTTGGGGAGGTTAGAAATCCCCATACCTATTAATGATTCTGGTTACCAATTTTGATATGTAGGAGAGTATTTTTTCCCTCACACATTCAACAAATTCTCAAATACCAGCTGGGTATCCCACAATATAACTCAGTTCCAACACTGTCTACACTGAGATAATATCAAATCCCATAGGTTAAGGACTCAGTCTCACAAGACAGTCTTACCCCAACCCCTGCCACACACAAGCATACACAAACACACACACATAAAATATACATGAGAAATACACACACACACATACACACTTTAGAAGCTAATTACAAGTCCAGGTTGTTACCTGAACTCCTGACCAAACTAGCTATAAATCAGAAGTTCTCAAGACCCCCTCCAGTAAACCCATTTATTCACTAGATTGCCAATTTATGACAAAGGATATTAAAAGACACAAATTAACACCAAGATGTAAAGATACATAGGACAAGGTCCTGAACAAAGGAGTGTCTCTGTAGAGTCTAGGGCCCAGTATGGTTGCATGTGAAAGCATTCTAGACCATCAACCTGGAAGCACACAGGTTTTGATGTTCTCTTCATTACATATGCATCACTTACTAAATCATTGGCCACTGGTGAGTGATTCAAACTCCAGTTTCTCTCACCCCCCTGAAAAGGGGTAGATGGGACTAAAAGTTTCAACTCTCTGTTCATGACTGGCTTCCATGTCAACCATCATTATTCTCAGGTGCTTCCCAAAAGTTACCTGATGAACATAAACTCACTTGGTGGTGAAAAGGAGATTGTGAAGAATAACAAGACACTAGTATCACTTTTATGGCTTTGAAACATTTTCAGGAACTAAAGATGAGACCAAATATTAAATAAAATATGCTTCCCTTTACTCATTACTAAGGAAATTCCAGGGGCTTGTGGGGCTATAAGTCAGGAAACACTGAAAAAGGCAAAATACACATTAGAAATGTACTTTGATCATCTGAATGACACAGATACAAACACACATATATATTAAATACACACTCATACACACATAAATCATACTATCTTACCCATACTCTACCATCCCCCATAATAGTATTCCTCTCCTAGAACACATCATCTTCACAGTGTACTCTGAAAGAAAAAAGAGCTGTCTTTCAAATACCTCTTCGACTCTAGGGTAAAATCCCCCTTCTCATACCTATTCCACTTAGTGAGATAGATTTTAGAAACAAAGACTAGGAATTCTTAAAGGTTTCTTCTTTTTCTGTTCTGCCAAATGACTCCTTTAATGAAATAAACCAAAAGTCTAATACCTATTTGAATGGTATTACAGCTGCAAAGAAAACACTGGGAGGAAACCTAATTATTATCTTAAAAAATTATCCACAAATAAACAAAATATGATACATCCATACAATGGACTACTATTCAACCATTAAAAGGAATGAAATACTGATGCATTCACAACATTAAAAACAAGCTAGGTGAAAAAAGTCAGTCATAGAAGGTGACATATCATTCCATCCACAGGAAACTAATAAGCAAATCTAGAGATTTAAATTAGATTAGTAATTGCTTAGGACTGCCTAGAAGATTAAGTAGCAAAGAGTTAATATTTAAATAGTACAAGGTTTCTTGTTGAAGTGATGAACAAGTTCTAAAATTTCAATAATAGTTGTATATATTCATGAATACAATTTTGTACTTTAAATGGATAAATTAGTGATTTAAATCTCAATAAAGCTGTTTAAAAAAATCAACCTGGGGAAATTCTACTTCCAATCACAATGTACTAGACTTGCCCTGTTGCTTAAAACTATTAGAAAACTGGAAAGTTATATAAATAAAAGCTATTTCAGATATTGGAAAAATTGTAGATCAAGACAATAATCTCTAAAAGTAAGAAAATAAGACATTTTACTACTTAGAAATTCAGTTTACAGGCACTTTCTTGAGAGAAGCAGTATCCAAGCAAATAGGACACTGAGCTAAAAGTTTTGTTAAGACTGAAACTGCTGAAATTTTCTGGGTACATTATTATTTAGAAAGAAGTTACACACAAAAATGGCTCTAGACATTTCTATAGGAAAAATGGAGAGTAAATTGTTAATCTATAAAATTGAGAGTAAATTGTTAATCTATAAAAGTTCATAGTGAAACTCAATGAATTTGGGTAAAGACAAACTAAGAGAGATGTAAGCTGAACAATTCCATAACTCTTACAGGATTCAAGTTTTAAACAGACAAGAAAGAAACTGTTTGATGAATACTTGAGATATTCCTTTACACTCCAGATTTCTGAAAAAATACGATCTACACAAAATACAGAATCAAAAATAATTCTGGGGTTATTTTATATTCTAATTCAAAATAATTTCTTTATATTTATAGAATAATTAATTTCAATATATTTATAACATATTTAAATGTAACAGGTCAATAACTGCACGAAAGGAGGGAGGAAATGAGACTATACTACTATATAATTTCAGTATGTTACATGACATAATATTATTTAAAAATTGCATTAAATTAAAGATGTATAAGTCCTAGAATAACTGCTAAAAGTTAAACAAAATGATATGTCTAATAAACCAGTAAATGAGATAAAATAAGTCACAAATAATCAAAAACAAGGCAAGAAAAGTGGAAAAAAATAAAGTCAATAAAAAAGTGAAATATAGAGAGACATTAGATTTAAACCCAACAATGCTGATAATTACATTAAATGTAAATGGTTTAAATAATCCAAATAAAAATAAGAGATTGTCTGACTGAATAAAAGGGGCAAGATCACCACCAACTACGTGGTGGTGACCAAAAATGCACTTTAGATATAAACACTTAAGATGAAAATGTTCTAGAGACCTTTTACACATTGTTAATATACTTAATAGTACTGAGCTATTCACTTAAATGTAGTTAAGTGGTAAATTTAATGTTATATGGATTTTTCACAGCAACAAAAATATGTATAAGCATAAGAGTTTAAGAGAATGAAAAAGCAGATAAGCCATGAAACACTAATAATAGAAAACGTAACTTCCTATATTATCAGAAAATTAGAATTCAAGTTAATACTACTAGGGATAACAAGACACATTTCATAATGACAAATGTCAGTTTATTAAGAAACTATAGCAATACTAAGTATAGTCACATAATTACAAGCATTCAAAATACTAAAGTAAAATTTGGTTGAACTTGAAAAAGAAACAGACCAATCTATGATTATGGTTGCAGACTTCAACAACTTTCTCTCAGTAATTGACAGATAGGTAGAAGACCATTAAGGATAGAGAGACCTTCAGCAACAATATGAGCTAAGTTGCCCTAATTGATAATTATATAACATTACTAACACCAACAACAAATATTCAAGTGCACATAAAATGTTCACCAATATAAAATATGTGCTGAGCTATAAAACAAGTATTGGTAAATTAAAAAGTTTGCAATTGCAAAGATTATATTCTCTGTCCATAGGATATTAACAATCATGGTTGAAAGATAGATAAGCTACTTGTAAAACCCTTTGATATTTGAAAGTAAAACACATATAAATAATTAGCTCATGGATTAAGAAATCATAAGAGAAAATAGATAGCATTTGTCATTGAACAATTTTGAAAATACAACATACCAAAATTTTGTGGGATGTGGTTAAGTGGTCCTTCTGAAGTGTTTAGAAGGGAAATGATACCTTTAAACATTATGTTTAAAAAAAAAAAAAGAATGAGAAAAGTCCAAATATGTGAACCAAGTTTCTCAGAAAAAGAACAAATTAAATTAGGGAGTTTAAAATAGGAAATGGAAAAATATACTTAGTGTGTCTGACATTAAACTTTTTGATTGTAGTGCGAATGCCTGATATTATATTTATGATTGACAAGACATCTATTACAAGAGAAATCTATCTTGAAAAACATATTGCCAGCTTCTAGCAAAACAACCAAATAAGGAATTATGCTGTCCACATCCATCAAGTTCTGTCTTTCAGAAAATTCTGGGCAACCCAGTCAACAGGTCAATTGAATGACCTCACTTACCCCTTCTCATACTCTAATTCTTACTCTTATACTTTGAATCACCCAATAAGAATATAGAAAAAAAACTAGACCTATCACCCTCAACCTTAATAAAGGCAAAGCCCAAATCCATTCTCTCCTCCCAGTCTTTCTGTCTCTCTGCTCAGGACCTCACTGTGTGACTCTCATGCATCTTCTGCAAGCTGATGGTTTTTGTTGCAGTGTGTGCCATAATCATAATAAGAACCACAGGGGCTAGTTCAGCCACATTGGCTCAGGTAGGGAGAAATGTCTGCGTGTTAATACTACAAA